AGTTCCTGGCTCTTTCTTTCCCTGACATGTCAAGCTATGACTGATTTTGCATGTGCCGTGTCCACCGGGAGGATCAGTTTCCTCTGACTCCTCACTGCAGCCAGCGCTGAGCCCAAAAGGGTATTCCCTTCTAATCCCAGGAGAGCTCAGATGTGGCTCAGACTGTTTCTGCTGCCTGAGATCTCTCCTTTCTCTTCTTATTTTCCGTCTCTCATATCTCTACCTTTTCCCACTGCCGACTGCAACTTCTATCTGGAGCCTAGGCCCTTTCTATTTAGTTACCTGGTGACTGATCATCACCGTACTACTCTCACTGGACCATGACACCCTTAGAGGTCATAGCTGGTGTCTTTAAAAGCTATTCTCAGCATTGCTTCCTTCTGGGCCTCCCTGCATTGGGACCACAGGAGTGAGGTGCCTGATTCAAATCCTGTTATAGTCAGGGGAAAGTTAAAAAAGAAAAAACAATTAAACAAACAGAGGGAGCCAACAATTATCTCATGTTTGGAAAAAAAAACCAAATACCCCTGTGGAGATTCTAAGGTGTTGTTTGTATTTTACTGTAATCTGGCCCAATTTCAGTTCTTCTGTTCTCAGCCATCTGTTCCTATCTGCATTCTGAGAGGTAGATGTCCTAGAAATACGAGTGTTTTAAAGAGCTGTGATCATTAAATTGAGTGTCATGATCACTGCTAGAGAGTACCATAGAAGGATTAATTCTCCCAGCAGTACAGCGTGTGCATTGCTACTCACCAATGGGTAGCAGACACGCTGCAGGCATCATGCAGACAAATCAGATAAAAGTCGATGTGCATCGTGAAACACAAAGAGTGACAGTTACATCAATCCACTGCTTTGCATAATGTTACATCATTAAACATTTAGAATAGGATATACCAAAGCACTCAGCCCTGGCCTAACTACTCTGTTTGACCCCAAGAGGAGGTTTCCAATGATTTCAACCATAACAGAGTTAGACCCATGGTGGGCACTTTTGAAAATCCCAGTATTAACTCGGGTTTCAGAGGGGAGGGGAGAAGGTATTTTGTGACACCTGGTTTTGCCATAGCAACATTGCCACAAGATTCCTTCTTAGTAATCCCTAAGCATAAGGAGACAAAAGCAAAACAGGGAAACACTGTAAATCTAATAGTAAGAGTGGAGTTCTTTTCTAAATTCATTTGCCTAGAAGAGTGTTTAACTGTGTTCCGTGGCACACCAGTGTGCCACGAGGCAGTCAGAGGTGTGCCACGGAGAAAAACAGAATTCAAAATGGCTGCCCTTAAAGGGGCAGGCGAGGCTTTTTTTTCCTGCTCAATAACTTTCTCCCAACCCTGTATCGCTGATGTCAACATACACTTTATCATGGGTTCTACAGGAGCTGGTCTTCACTGAGCGCAGAGCAGAAGCCAGTTAGAATTGGATCAGGCATCCATAAGCCACGGACTTTTCTATAACAAAATATAGTCTAAAGCCGAGTCCATGATCCACTTAAGAGAGAAAATGATCTCTGTACCCATGCTATAAAAGGAGGGTTAGGCTAAGGAGTTGTGTCTATAAATATGGTCATTCATATTGTGCTGGTTTGAAAGCACAGCCTTTTATTAATACTTGATCTGCTCTCTTGAGTTCCGAAAAACGTGTTGAAATCATTGAGAATTTTGCCTCAGTCTCAGATGGAGGATCGGGCCCTTTCTAAGCTGAGCATCTATTTTCAATGGCACAATAGATTTTAAATTGTTTAGGACAAGGCCCATCTTTTCTCATGTACTCTGTAAAACACCTTCCAATGTATGGGTGCTGTATAATGATTAAAAACAATCTGGCTCTTCTCTGGCACTTTTTCTCAGGGTATCTGAGCACCTTTGGAAATGTCGCACTGTACACTAGGAATTAAAATCCCTGCTAATCCATTCACTGGCTACACCTCAGGTTTTACCAGTTAACCAATTAAGCGGGAACTGCTGGCAGTCCCAAACAAGGGAGGTCCTGCTCCCAGCCGCACTGCGCTTGGGGCTGCCGGTTCCTGCTCTCAGCCCCTGGTTAACCAATTACCTGTTCTCATCCTTACTGTATACAAAAATAAACATTAAGTGCATGAATCTCAGAGCAAGGCTTTCCATTAACTTTCCTGGCTAATGGCAGAGGCCCATTCTCTTCAAAGAGCAGCAATAATGTCTTGAACAAAGATGCCAGCTGTAGTCTTGAGGGCACACCATACACTCTGTTCACGTTAACTGGATCTATTGGGAAAATTAAATCATCAGAACTTGGGTATTTTACTTGTCTACTTTTAAGTATCAAAGCCACAATTTACAGCTGGTTATACTGAAAGCATTCACAGTCGCCAAATCTGCAGAATGATTCCCATTCACACGGAATCATGCACACCTGCCTCCTGTTAAAGTTACTCATCCTTAGCGATACTAACAATGACATGTATTTGTTTCCTCTTAATAAACCAGAGATGAAGAACGCAGGAAGCCTCACGCATAATTCTGCCCCCTTCATATTTACATATCTTTCCATACATGACCGTTATAATGAGCTATAATTTTTCTGTGTAGTTATAAACCTCTGCTGCAGTTAAATAATATTAGGCAGCACCACAAATAAAGTAGCAGCATGATTTTACAAGTGCGTTTGATCTAGCTCCTCTTTTCCGTGTTTGAGGGTGAGCTGCACAGATATTTTATTATCTGAATATTAGGGCTGTTATTTCAAAACCAGATTCACTGACAGACTTTTTCTTTCTCCCACTTTCCTAGAATCCAGCGGGCAGATTGTGGTCACACAGACACCTGCTTCTGTGACGGCGCTTCCAGGAGAGACGGTCACCATCCAGTGCAAGGCGTCCAGCTCCATGAGCAATGATATGAGTTTATATCTGCTTAAACCAGGACAAAATCCCAAGCTCCTAATAGCTGATGCAACCAGCCGTTTCACCGGGGTCCCTGATCGATTCAGTGGTAGTTACAGTGGCACCGACTTCACATTCACCATTCGTGGGGTGCAAGTGGAAGATGCAGGAGAATACTACTGTGGGCAAGATTACAGTCGTCCTCTCACAGTGATACAATGCAATACAAAAACCTGTGCAGAGCCCCAGCACACACAGGGCACAGCAGAAAGAAGTGGTGGTGGCTGTTTCTAACCCAGCTATAGTGTAACACTTTATTTGGAATCAGATTGTATTTTGATATATTCAACTTGTTTAGTCAACGTTTGTTTTCAGGGAGAGAACTTGGAATGATGGAATCTCTCAGAGTACTGAGATAGACGTGGTGTCTACCATAAATTGGCCCAGATTTTCTATGGTGTTTCTGAATGCCCAGATTTCTAGACCTTTAGGTTTATTTGTTACTTCACATTCATTCCCAACTCTCTCTAACTTCCCAAATACAGGCAGTCCCCAGGTTATGTACAAGATAGGGACTGTAGGTTTGTTCTTAAGTTGAATTTGTATGTAAGTCGGAACTGGTACATATTGTAGGGGAAACTCTAGCCAAACATTTCTCCAGAGCTCAGTTTTATTCTCCCACACCTCACTTCCCTCAGGCCTTTATTCTCAAGCTGAGGTGTCTGCTGAGAAAAGCCGGGGCGCTAGCTTCGCGTCTCCCTTGTCTGCTGGGGGGAAGTAGCTAATGCGGGGTTGCCTCACCCCGTTTGTAAGTAGAGATCCGATGTAAGTCTGATCCATGTAACCCGGGGACTGCCTGTATCCCTATAATCCCCAGGAGCAAATCCTGGTGATGAAATTGACAGAATATTTACAGTTTAAACATCATAGGGGCAGAGGGAGAGTTCTGATTTCAGATATCTGGCCTGTCCATCGTCTAAGACCCTGGAACATTATATATACAGTAAAACTCCAATAGTCCGGCATCCAATAGTCTGGCACTCCTGATAGTCCGGCATCAAAATGGCAAGAGCCGAGCCTAGTGAATGAGCTTTGGCAAAAAATGAGTCACAAGATAACAGCGGCAGCAGCTGAACTGAGCGAAAAGGGTAAAAAAGGGTTAAAAAACTAAACATTACAGTATATTGTATACACTATGTACAATAAAAGGGTTAAGAACACTTTATATACAGCATATACTGTATACAGTATATACATAACCATCATATAGTACCTCCTGATATTCCGGCATATTTGATAATCCGGCACCACCTAGGTCCCAAAGGTTCCAGATTATCGGAAGTCTACTGTATATATCAGGCACAAGCAGCCACCAAATGTACATTGGTCCACATACTTGTCTTTAGAGGACACACGGTTAAAGCATAGGAAATAGCTGTTCATAGGAGTAGAGATATTCTTTCTTTAAGGAAGAAGGACACAATCTTTCCAGATGATACTGGATAATAGATGTCCTCAGATCCCACTGAATCAGATACCTACGACAATGGTTCTTAATCAGTGGTATGCAGCTATCTTCAAGGAGATACAGGAACTCACCTAGATTTTGCGTAGTTTTAAAATTGGCTACATTAAAAGCACTAGTGAAGTCAGTACCCATGAAGTGAGCAATTCTTCAGTAAGTGTTCTGCAACACTTTTGAATTTTTATCTCTGGCTTTGTAAGCAAGGAGTTTTTACAGGGAGGTGAAACTTGGGGGTACACAAGACAACTCAGACTCCTGAAAGGGATACACTAGTCGGGAAAGGTTGAGTACCACTGACTTACAGCGTTTGAATGGTATGAGGCTGCAGACAATGCGAGCACAGCATCGGCTACAGGTTGAACCTCCCTAGTCAGGCACCCTCAGGAACTGACCAGTCCCGAATGAAGGAGTTTGCTGGACCAGGGAAGGTCAACACCAGCCCCACTGCTCCCGGCCCAGCTAGGTTCCTCGCCTCGGCAAAGCCGCTGGCCCCGCTATCAGCAGCACAGCAAGGTTCCCGACCCTGGAAGGTTCGCTGGCCCCATTGATGACAATCCGGCCAGGCTGCTGGCTATCGGCCCTACCAATGCTCCCCTGGCAGGTTGCACTCCTGCAGGTTCTGACGGCCAGCTGAGGCGGGGGGCACCTTCCGGGTGGCGCTGGCTGTCTCAGCCACACCCCTTCTGCTCAAGGCCCTGTCCCATTCAGGAGCATGAAGCCTTCCTCCCACACACATTGCCCAGGGGCCCGGCCATCCTGTCGGCTCCCCTGAGACCCACTGAAGTCTTGATGCACTGAGACTACTTGTGTTTAAAGCTAAGTGTGTGCACCCAAGCTTTCCTGGACCTGAGTCAGAATGCCTGTTGCCTTCCTGGATAGTCATTAGCCAATCAGATGAATGAGTTGTATTTTCTATTGATTTCAACAGGACTAAGGATAATTTTACATCCTTGTGCTGGATCGAGAACATAGTGCTTAGCAGCTTGTTGCATCCAGCTGTTAATGAGCAACCAGCTCTTCTCATGGTTTTTCGTACTACCAAAACTCACATGTATCTTCTTCCTCTTAGCTATGTAGCCAGGAAGTATTCCAAATGCCTGTCAGTCTCAGATCTGCACATTATTCCAAAAGGCAGTGAATTCGTTTCAAAACTTTGTGATAAAATTCAGTCCAGGATGGACAACTAAACAGTCAGCAACAGAAAAAAATGAATATACAGGAAACAGGATTTCATAAATGCATTTGATCTTGCTGCTCTTTTCCATGTTGGAAGGTTGGTAGCTCAGCTCTTTTGTTTTACAGCCTCTGAGACAGTTGCTGAAAATAGAATCTCAATAAAAGTCTTTTTCGTCTTCCCACTGCTCTGGAATCCAACGGGCAGATAGTTGTCATTCAAACATCTGCTTCTGTGACGGTACTTCCAGGAGAAATGCTCACCATTCAGTGCAATCCATGTCTGTTGGCAAGCCACTCAACAGCTCTCTGCTCAGTTGAGGAGAGGTTCCCAAATTCCCAATATTTATGGCTACAAAGCATTTCACTGGAGTTCCTGATCAATTCAGTGGTAGTTGCAGTGGGAAGGATTTCACATTCCCCGTTAACAACACACAGGCTGAAAATGAAGACTGCTACTGACGAAATGATGCTGCCAACACATTCATAGTGCTATGGTCTGGTAAAGTATGTCTACCCTACAAAGTTAATTCGAACTAACGTCCGTTAGTTCGAATTAACTTTGATAGGCACTACACTAGCGCTCCGCTAGTTCGAACTTAATTCGACCTAGAGGAGCGCTTAGTTCGAACTAGGTAAACCTCATTGTACGAGGACTAAGCCTAGTTCGAACTTACTAGTTCGAATTAAGGCCTGTGTAGCCCCTTAATTCGAACTAGTGGGAGGCTAGCCCTCCCCAGCTTTCCCTGGTGGCCACTCTGGCCAACACCAGGGAAACTCTATTGCCCCCCTCCCGGCCCTGGACCCCTTAAAGGGGCACGGGCTGGCTACGGTGCCCATGCCAGGTGCAAGCCTGCCAGCACCCAGCTAGCAGACCCTGCACCTGGCACGGCTCGAGCCAGCCACCCGATGCCCCCCC